ACGCGTTCACGCGACACCCTCGTACAATCGAATCACCTACAGGGAGGAGAAAGGTGGATAAATAGCCGCGAAAAGTGAGTTCGACGATAACGGATGGAGTGAGAACGGTCGAACGGTCGAACGGTTCGCGCTTTCGTCAACTTTGTCCCGTTCTTCCGTGTCCGCGATCGATCGATTTCTCTCGGATCGAGCGAGAAATGGCGAGATAGGGTAGACGGAAGATTCTACGAGCGAATCGATGAAAGAATCGACGATCGATCGTGGCCCAATTCGAAGCGAATGGAAATGTCCGTTCCTGAACGCCGCGATGGCGACGGCGGCGGTGGAGGCGGTGGTTCCGTGTCTCAGAAGTGGTAGGGGATTCGAAGATTATACTCGCTGGTTCGCAAGCCGAAAGATCAGTTTAGTTTACTATTGGTTTCGAGTCGTATCCTTCCACGAGATTCGGCACCATAGATGTTGAATAAAAATCGCGACCGTAGAAACGTGAAAGGAAGCGGTAGATAGTAGGTCGTAGGTGATAAAATGATCATGACGAGTGGTCCAAGTGAATTTTTCATTTGTACCTCATTGACGAATTAACTACGAAATCGTCGCGAGAAGGCTTAATGCGCGCCTCAAGAAGCGTCACGGAGAAGTAAAAGAGAACAGGTGAGTGTGTATATGTGTGTGGTGGGAAATAGCGTTTGATAATGAACCAGCGAGCACGTGTCTCTCTCGGAGACACCTAGCCAACGACCTTACCCCGGTTTCCTTTCGTTCAACCGCCGGCGCATGAACTTCCCTGAACTGGGTGATCCCGCCGAAACCGACAAACTTTCCGTAAAAATAGCCCCGGCTAATTTCGAACCACAAGGAGAAAACGATATCCTCTCTTGTCAACATTTCGGTACCGCGCTCTCATTTTTCGCTCTTTTATCTTCCGCCCCTTTTCCGCCGCGACCCATCGCTCTATCAACTATTACGGAAATTCAATTTACACGATGCTCAATGTAGAATTTATTCGTTCTTTGTGCGTTTCAGAGGACAGGCCGTGATCGACGGAAGGGGAAGCCGAGGAGAAGAGACAAGAACCGGGACGGAAGATGAGGTACAAGGTGAGGCCGCTTCGAGTCTCTAAGTATTCGCGTGTATTCGAGAATGGAACGAGTACCGCGCCCATCCTCGTATCGTTCTAACTGGCGGAAGGAATCGTACGGTTCGCGCGAGTCATCGCGAGGGCCACGAAAGAAAGAACAGACGAGCGACGTCTTCTTTTCCTTCCTACGATTTGCATAAAACATAAGCATTCAGGGTGAACCGATCGTTTGTTTCTTCCGTACACAGCCGACCCTGTACAATCCAGGCGAAAGATAAAGAGAACTTGATGACTTCAAGCTGATAGAGCAGTTTTGGCATCGTGCCAAATCCTTTCCTACGCGAACTTCACGAACAAATGATTAGGGCAAATGTAGGTAGATGAGTCGCGTTTCGCATCGCGAACGAATGGAATAGACGAGACGTTCACGGTCATAAACGTGACTTCCATCATTTTTTTACTTAGAAGGCGTGACTTTTCCTCAGCTTGAAGGAGAACCAGCCGATGCATGAATACGATCATCGTACCAGGATTACTTTGACACTATCGTTGTGTAACTTGTCGGTGCGGCATGTGTCCGGTGTATTCTTTTATTGCATAACATCGCGAAGATCGAATGTTAGAAGCGTATAAGCTTACGTAGGAATTTCGGTGATTTCGGTCGATTCGTCGACGAGTCTCTCCCCGGAAGTTCTACGGTAAGACTCGTCGTAGCGATAGTCGCGTTCGATTCGAAACAATCGAAGAAAACGATGCTTCGATAGCGAGAAAAGAAATCGAATCACCGTTCGTGACTGTCGTTGAACACGATTACTAGAATTATATTATCCATCAACGCGAGAACAATTGTTCACGGTTTAATCGTGGTTTCCGGAGTTTAACAGCTTTTATGTCGCTCTCTTCTGAAGTTAACGCGTCCGAGCATTATCGCCACACCTATTCAGGGTGCGCAGACTTCTTCGAGAAGAGTGACGCTTCTTCGTCGCAATTATGCGTGCAATGCTCACCTTGGCAAAATTTTCAGTACTCAAGTCGATCAAAAGCTTATATCATACGTATGTACTTGAGGAGAATGTTTGACGCGTGTGGAACATCGATGGAAGAAGTCGTTCTATTTGTAGAGCGCGGGAGCCGAGGGAGAACACAATGTTAGAACTGTGCGGCGAGTGTCTCTCCCGGCTCTGCCGCGTCTCACTTAATTAGCCGGTTTTTTTAAAGCTTCGTTAAACGCGTACAACATCTTCTCACAATCCACGAATTCGAAATGAATTGCTTATCGGAAGCTGGAAATCACTTTTCTCCCCCGGTACCAGTAACAAAGGAACCGGCGAGAGGCGCGCGCGTGCCTCACGATGGATCTCGATGGATCACGACCGATGATCCAGCCGCGTGCCTTGAATCGTAATCAGAGTAGCGGCTTAGATTTCGGTCTGACGATACTACTACGTGACACTGCCGATCAGACCTGGCCGATGGAACATCCTGCGCAAGTTCGTTGCACCTGGAACGCGCGCAATACGAGGCGCTATTAAAAAGAAATCGGTCTGGGATTATAAAAATTTGATCAATCAACCAACCTACATTTCATTCAAAATAGTCACCTTTTGCATTGATACAGCGATTCTATTAGTTCTGCCACGCTTCGAATAATTTTTGAAAATCATTTTCCCTAAACTGCGTCAAACACCTATTGCGATTTAACTTGCATCTCTTCGACAGTGTCGAAACGCGGTCCCTTGAGCGTCGACTTCATTTCTGGAAATAGAAAGAAGTCTCAAGGGGCTAAATCTGGGTAGTAGCCCATCGCCACTTCTTTCTATTTCCAAAAACGAACTCGAAACTCAAGGGACGGCGTTTCGACACTGTCGAAGAGATCCAAGTTAAATCGCAATAGGTGCTTGACGCAGTTAGGGAAAATGATTTCCAAAAATCATTTAAGAGATGATAGAACTAACGGGAGCATTTTATCAATGCAAGAGGGGACTATTTCGAAGGGGACGAGAGCCAAATTTAGATTCGTTGATCGATAAAGCTTTTATCAATACTCTGTCCAGTTTCTTCTTGACCGTACCTCACATACCTTGTAGCAAGTATTAGAGTGTCTCAGTGCACGACGTATGCTAGCCAGATTTTTTCACTTTGTACTACAGCAGAACCTCGGTAGTTGCACGAAACGGGAGTGAAAAAGCCTGCAAGGGTCGAGGTAACCAATCAACAAATTCCCTCCCACTTGTGCTTCTTACTATCAGTAAGACTAAAATCTTAGCTTCTCTTACTATCGCGTGTTACGTGTTTTCCGTAACTAAGCAACTATCCCCACCGTGTGTTGACGAAATGCAACTGACGAGATTTGCATACAAGTATCGAGAGTGCAACTACCAAGGTTCTACTGTATGTTGCATCTACGCTCGACGGTAATTAGCGAATTTCATCTATCTCAGTGAGTGTACGACGAATGAACGTTGCTCCTGTGTTCAGAATATAGGTACACACGGGGTAGAAGCAGGAGAATTATGTCGAGGTAATAGGAACGATTCTAGGGCAAGGTGAGAGCACCGATCCTTATATGTCGTTTCATCGAACTAACACTTTGTTTAATGATTTCTTTCATTTCCATACCACGATTTTTCACGGTTACTGCGTTCTCGTTCTCCTTCCATCGCGCTACAGTTTTCTTCCTTTCTTCACAGGTAAGCGATCCCGAAGCGAACGACCAGGGTGATGCAGCTGCGAACGAGATGCCGAAGAAAGGATCTGTGCTTTCTTGGTAAATGGAATACAACAAAATGGCATTATATTGTATATGTTAGATCGTTCGATAAGTTCGTGTGATGTTTAGAGCAATATTTTAAAGATACCTTTAAATGCTATGGAAGAAAGTAGTCACTCTCTGGTTCCATAAATTCTTCCCACCTTTTCTTGGGGGGAAAGCCATTATGTGCCGTTTTTACAAAAATTCTCTCAGGTTTTCATGAAAATATTTTCCAATGCTGTTTCTTAGAGAGTCGATATTGTCAAATATTTGCCCACCAAAAGAGCGTTGTAACGCACGGAACAGATGGTAATCTGATGAGGTAATTTCCGGAGAATATGGTGGGTGTGATAAAAAGTTCCAATTGAATCTGCGTAATTTTTTTTTGCACCTTTTGTGCCATATGCGATTTTGCATAATCATGGTGAAAAATTACTTTATTCCGATTTAAGAGTCCTGGACACGTTTCACTGCTATTGCTTCTCTTAACTTTCCTAACTGAGCACAGTATTATACGTCTGAATGGATGGTTTCATTTCTCGAAAGTAGCTGGAAATTAGGGCTCTCGGTGATACTCAGATTTACGGATATCCGAATCTGGAGTATTTCGGTACTCGGGTGGCTACCTAATTTATGCCCGAGTATCCGGATACTCGCGTGATTTGAATTCGGATATTTAGATAAATCTGTATTACACTCACGATGAGTCTATCGGATACTAAATATCAGGGTCGAACTTTACCTGAACTTGGTTTCTTCAGTCTAAATCCAGATAAGAAAAGCTTCGTATCTGAGTAATTAACAAAGAAAATCGAGTACTCAGACTCGGATTTCGAGTACTTGGATATCCAAATAGTAAGAGCTCTACTCGAAATACAAAATACACGGTGAAGAGTGTAAACGCATCGCGGCATCAACTTATTCGACGACCTAAAATATTAGGTGTAGAAATTAATTCGGTGCCTTCTCTTACAAACTTCACTGTTTATTTACAAAAAATTAAATACAATTTTAACGTTTAAAATAATCTCCATTACTTTAGATGACCATTGTTCCATTTATTGTGTAACTAACGAATTTCCTCTCTGAACAAATATGGCGGCTTTGAGTCGATAAAGTCGTCAAGACTTTGTGAGAAAAGGCACCGAACTAATTTCTACACCTAATACATACAGGGTGTTTCCTTTATCCTGAAAAATTGGAACATCTCGCGAGGGACTGAATCTGTCAAGAAAATGTTCGAACAAAAGGTATTTGGCATGAAGAGGGACACCATATGGTGCAAATTATTTTTTTGCAGGTCGAGTGGTGGAGGGAAATTTCAAAGTCAGGTTCATTTTTTTAAATGGAATCATATTTTTATTTCATAGTACGATAGCATTTGTTCAGACGAATTCAACGACCTGCCATACGAGGTAATTTATTGTTGCAAAATGTTGTACATTTTTAAAAATTTTTGCTTTTTCTTTAATTGAGCGTTAGTAAGTAGAAAGAAACTTTATTTATGTCGGTAACGCGAAAAGCATAACTGGAGATAAGTTCGATCTTTATTGTATTAGTCAGCAACTCCGGCTCACTTGACTCCCTAGAAACTGACGAATTTACAACATTTTACAACAATAAATTACCTCGTACGGTAGATCGTTGAATTCGCCTGAACAAATGCCATCGCACTAACAAAAAAAAAAGAATATGATTCTATTTAAGAAGATAAATTTCACTGAAATTTTCTTCTACCACTCGACCTGCAAAAAAATAATTTGCACCATAGTGTGTCTCCCTTCGTACCAAACAGCTTTCGCTCGAACGTTTTTCTGACAGATTCAGTCCCTCGTTAGATATCCCAATTTTTCAGGATAAAGGAAACACCCTGTATACATAGATATCGTAACAGAATGAAGGAAAATTCGTCATTTTTAATTCAATTATAAATACAATTTAGGCATTACGGCCAGGCCAAGGATGAGAAGAATTTTGGCGGAAAGGAAAGGAAATTGACGGTAATCGTCGGTTTGTTAACAGTAACCGTAATTACGCTGCTAGTCGTGTTAACCCTGCAGATCGTCATTTTTCGTACCGAGGAGTACAAAGAGATGTGCCAGAGTGAAGAATGCGTGAAGACAGGTATCGTAAGAGCCAAGGTTTTTCCTACTCTCAATTACCAATTAACCTTCCTATATAATTGCAACATGGAAATCCGGGATTTCTATTCGAATTATCCTTATATAAGGATTATTTATTATCCTCTCCCCCCTCCTCAGCCTATCCTTCGCTGATATCGCGTTCGTTTACGATGATGATGATAATGAACGATCATTTCAGCCGCCAGGGTAATAGAAGCGATGAACAGATCCGTAGATCCTTGCGAAGATTTTTATAAATTCGCCTGCGGCGGTTGGATCTCGAAGAATCCGATACCGCAAAGTCAAACTTCCTGGGATCAATTAAGCGTGCTGAGGGAACAGCTGTTGAAAAATCTAACGATTCTGCTGGAAGAATCGGACGAGGGGAATCAATTGCGATCCGTTCAATTGGCTAGAGCTTTGTATAGAACTTGTATGGACACAGGTAAATTCTGCGTATACAGAGTGAGCGGAGAATGGGTAGTACAACGTGTATAGAGGATAATCCTACGTGTGAAAATGAACCTAAATCGTAGAATAACATTCTTTCATAAGAGGCTTACTTTTCGGGAAATGTGTATTTAAAGATTTTCTTTAAGCTGTTGCTTCTGGTTATACTTTTACGTTGAAAACAGTATAAATTTTCTGCAACTGAAAACATCGTACTCAGACTTTCGCACAATTAAAGCGTCGAAATACCGTACCATCAGTCCACGATTCTTTGATTCAAAGGGCAAGGATTTGTATGCGTTAACAAGGACGTCACTTTTAACAATTCGTTCAGTAATGTGAATTTAAATTAAGAAAATGGTTAATAAATGTATTATCAGTAGTTATCATGACATTGACATCGCGTATTAGTGCCTACAAACGTAAATCGTTATCAGCACGCCATACGGACCTCGACAATAAACTTTCAATATAACGTTAAGGGAACATAAACTTGACAACAGCAAAAGTTATTAAAAAAATAAGAATGTGACGGGTCGAAATAGACCCGAACATCGTACTAGGGTTAAATGCACGCGTTAAATACTCGAATTTTTTTCGAAAAACTAAGCTTTTTATGATAAAATTTTATTGTATATTTGCGTTTTATTTTGACATGTAGAATCACTTTATGCCCGGTTATACCACCCTCTACGTGTATATGCTCAGAATGAGAAAGAAACAGAGTGATTATCGTCGTTTTAGCAAGCCTGGAGGCTTTTGAATTGAAGCCGATTCACGAAACGCTAGCCACGCTTGGTCTACCAAAGGATCCACCATTGAACGACGAAGTCACGGCTCTAGATCTTCCCAAGTTTGCTGGGACAGCGCTACGAATGTTAGGCTTGAACATATTTCTAAATTTCTACGTGACCGAAGATATACGAGATACGACGAGACACAGAATTATGGTGAGAGCATAGAGACGTGGCGATACGTTCGATTCGACGACCCCACCGATCTTGATCTTGACCTCCGTCTAGACCTGGAGCCTCTTCGATTCGTTTTACAGATGGAACAAGTATCGCCAGGTTATAGCGAGCGTTATCTGCTCGATCCATTGCGGTTTCAAACGGAATTAAACGAATACAAGAAGTATATTAAAGCTATGATGGAGCTGGCTGGCGCTGGTAATAAAAGTGCCGATTTTGCCGATGAAATCTTAAGCTTTACTACCAAAGTCGCGTATGTGAGTATTATTCTAATCCGTGTCACGAAGAAAATGAAAATATACGATGTCCGATACGTTTAATATAGATCATGGCGACGCCGGAAGAGAGACGTAGCGCGAATCATCGGATTCACGATGTAACGATCGACAGATTGCAACAGCTGACTGATTTACGAATGCAACAGGTGAATCGAATCAAAACTGGAAAACCTTCCTATTGCCTGATATCTGCTAAATGAACTTTACTAAACGAACTTTCATTCTAACGGACTCCGCCACCGTTTCAGTGGAATTGGACGAGATATTTTGAAGCGGTGTTCAACCGGACGAACACCACGATAAATACCAGCGAGGATCATGTGATCATATTGGATCTACGCTATTTGCAGAAACTGCCCGAATTGCTATCGGCCACTCCGACATCTACGTTAGGTATGCTGCGATCTTCTTTTACTTCCTCTCGCGTTGAACGATCAAGCGAACACCAATGTTGACGTATCTTTCAGCTCGTTTCGTCTGGTGGAGCGTTTATTCAACGGTTGCCCCGTTGACGTTACAACAATTCCGGGATCTAGGCTTTCGATTCTCGCAGAAAGTTTTCGGCCTGAAAGAGAAGACACCGAGATGGAAGGAGTGCACGGTAAACGTGAACACGAATTTCGGCATGGCTCTCAGTTATATTTACGCGAGGAAACACTTCGACGATCAGGCCAGAGAAAAGGTTGCCGCTCCTCTTCCTTCCTTTTTCTCTTCTTCTTCTTCCTCTCGTGATTCGTAATTGTGCGATTTTCTAGGCATTAGAAATGTTGCTGGACATCAGGGCTGCGTTCGACGAGATGGTCGCTGAACTAGATTGGATGGACGTTGAGACGAGAGCTCGAGCGCACAGAAAGTTGCACGCAATGAGACCGTTCGTAGGAATTCCGGAATGGATCACCAATTCGTCCAGGCTGGAAAAATTTTACGAGGGGGTGAATTATATTTTACACGAATTTCAACCGCTCTATTAACGACCACGGAAAAATCCTATTCATATCCTTTGTTACAGATGGACGTTGTACCTGGACGATTGTTCGACACGTTTCTGATGCTGACTAACAAGAGCCTTACGAAGAGCTTGAACAGTCTGAGGGAAAAAGTGGACAAGAATCGATGGATAACAGCTGGTACAACGGTGAACGCGTTTTACAGCCTGACATTAAACTCAGTTAGTAAGTGTCCAGTTAGTATTCTGCTACTAATCAAACCCAAGTCAACATCACGTTCCAATTTTTTCTAGCTTTTCCAGCCGGAATTTTGCATCCTCCGTTTTATGGAAATGGGTTAGAGTACGTATTGTACGGTAATCTATATGATCACTGCGTTCTTCATTTTATGATTCGTCCGATAATTATGCCGATAGGTCAATCAACTACGGTGCAATGGGCGCGATAATGGGTCACGAGCTCACCCATGGATTCGACGATCAAGGTATCGTACAATTTTCTTCGGATTCGCGTAATTATGGATTAATCGCGATTAGTACGAGTACGTGGCTCAGGTCGTAGGTTCGACGAGAACGGGAACCTTCGGCAGTGGTGGAGTACCGAGACGTTGCAACATTATCATGAAAAAGTCGAGTGTATGATTAAACAATACAGCAGCTATCACTTGCCGGAGCTGGGCAATAATTTTACGGTGAGTAGTGTCCTTCGTGTGGAAATGCAGAAGAGCGGAAAATATGCCAGGCTTGTTAACGCACGTTACTTAATCATACAAATAATGCCGGCGAATTATTCTACGATGTTTAGGTGAACGGCGTTAATACACAAGGAGAGAACATTGCCGATAACGGTGGCATACGAGAGGCTTATAGAGCGTATCAAAGGCTGAAAACGAGAAGCGTTAATCGACAAGCTTTACCAGGTCTTGCCACGTATACCCAAGAGCAATTATTTTTCGTAGGTTTCGCGCAAGTAAGTGCTGGACCACCACCGCCACCGATAAATAATAATACAGTTATTCTTTCGAGTCGTTTGTTTCGAGAAATCGTAATCGTTCGAAAATTCAAAATGATCTTTTTGGTATTAGCATGAACAGTAACAGGTTGTATTTCGCTGAACAGGTGTATACATGCGCGTATGTTTGTTCCACAGGTATGGTGTGGAAACGACACGAATGGCGCTTTGAAATCTAAATTGATACAAGGAGTTCACGCGCCGAATCATTTCAGAGTTATCGGAACTTTATCGAATAACGCAGAATTCGCGAAATCCTGGAATTGTCCAGTTGGAAGTCCCATGAATCCACCTCACAAATGTATTCTGTGGTAATTCGCACTCACAAGGCGTGCGATGTTCCTGGTGAAATTATACGAATGATAAAGAAATTCTAAACAGACTGATTCGTAGGAACTGACGTGTTTTAACTTAATATATTCTTAAGCACGATATTTTCTATTGGAGTTTATCTTCTGTAAACGTTCCATGCAGAATGGAAATATAATTTGTTTTTAAACAAATACAGCGTATCGTACAATTATTCCTCCTTTCCCGGGTTTCATTGTTTCTTCTTCTTCTTTTTCCTTAGAATCGCTCCGGTTTCTTCAACGACCTTTCTTTCCTTTTTCCTCCTCTTCGGAG